TCCTGCTCAGAACTCCCTGTTTCCCAGCAAAAAGCATCTTCCATAGACTCCTAAACTCAAATCCAGACAAAGTGCTCCCTGTTCATCCCCTTTTCCTTCCATAGGGAGCTGTTGAGCTCCACAAGCCGGCTGCTGGAGTGGGAGCAGCCGCTGGGTGTGATTCTAAACCCATCTCTTTCCTACTGCCTCTAAAGTGCCAGAGCTTTTCCTGCTTCCCAAACGAGCCACTGTTTGTGCCGTTAATGGGAACGTGTGTTTCCAGTGGGATTTGATGAACTTTTCCTGGGAGGAGTTTGGGCGCTGTGTTGGTAATGGGGGGGCTCTCACCACGGACTGCGGCATTAACTTCATCCTCCCATCCTCACATCCCTGTAGGCTTTGATTGCCAGCCTGGAATCACTCCCATGCTTGGAATTCCGCTTGCCAAGGAGTAATTCCAAGCCTGTTCTGTGTTTGTTTCCCACCCTGGACTGGTTAGTTTTCCCCTTTGGAGTAGGGAAAACTCTCTTCCTGGGCTGTTAAGGTGCTTTGAGCTTGGCTTTTCCACCTTGGAGCAGGTACAGAGCTCTGGTGTCACAGGGCAGTGCCCCAGCACCTTCCCCACCCGCCCTTATCTCCCATCTCCGGAGCCATTCCTGGTGCAGGCACAGCAGGAAGTGAAACTGCTGGGACCATGCTCTGAGCTGTGCCTGATCCTGCGTGGAATTCCCGGCTGGAGCAGAGCTGAATGGCCACCGGATTTTCCAGGGGGGGTTTGGTGCCTCCGAAGGAGTGAAGGGATTTAACTGGGAGAATTCCAGGATTCTTGGCAGGTAAAAATCCCTTTTTGTGCTCCAGGATTTAGATTGCCGGGGCAGGGATTAGAAACAACTCCGGAGCCAATAAAATCCCAACGATGGGAATGTCTGTGTTTAGCCCCTGGGGCTGAACCTGCTGGACTGAGGCCAGTTCTTGTGTGCAGAAGCCTTGCTGCATTCCTCGCATCCAGTGGCCAGTGTTTTGGGATGGGTTTTTTCTGTTTTTCCCTCCTTTTCCCCATTGTGCTTCCAGCTTTAAGGCTCTGTGCAGGGCCGGTCCTCCCCTCTCCATTGTTTCCTAACCTAATGGATCCTCTTGTTCTTTGTTTAACCTGTCACCAGCCTCTCACTGCCTCCTTCAGTCAGGGCCAGCACAGGGAATGCTGTAATGCCACATGGACAGGACAGGTTTGGGCTCCAGCTCACTTGGATCAAGCAGGGAAAAAACATTTAAACACTTATGGGAATGCTGCTGTTCCAGGGCCGTTTATCCCTCCCTGCTCAGACACTGGCTTAGAGCCTGTTGGAATTGCACCTGGATCCTGGTGCTTTCTGTTTCATATCCCTTCCTTTCCCTGCTCAACACTGATTCCCTTCCTAAGGTGCCTCCAAGAAGCTGGAGCCTCCTGGTGTTCTCAGCATCACTTCAATCCTTTCCTTCCTTGATATTCCCATTTCTTTCCTTTCCAGACCCTGAGACCCCTCAGCCTTTCCCAGGGAAGCCTTCCTGACCAGAAGCTCCTGTTCCCAGGAAGAGCCGTGCTTACAGCTCTCTGCCACCCCAGACCCACTTTGGCCATCCCATCCCAGATCCCTGCTGCTTCCCGCTTGGACCTGCTGCGCCAGGGTGAGGATACTGCTGCTGCTGTTGTCATTCCCCTGCTCCTGTGTGCCTGGAGATGTCTAGGAAGCAAAACACAAGAGGTAAGAGCTATGGAATGCTGCAATGGGCAGCACCAGCGATTCCCAAGCTCTCCATTAGGAAAGGGGTTAATTGTGTTTTCTGGGCCCCCCCAGAGCTGCTGCTGTCAC